CACTACAGTAATGCCCTAACCCATTCCAGCAGAGAACACTCTCAAGTGAGGAAATTAATGGAGGAAATGGCATTCTCCTAAGTCTCCCTGGATAACCCTAAGGAAGCTCAACTGATCATGTCACAAAGGGTTAACTTGTAGCACCTACATGATCTGAAACAAATGACTGGTGTATTAGTCAGGGTTCTCTAGAGGAACAGAATTTATAGAATATATATATATATATATATATATATATATATATGAAGGGAATTTTTTAGAATGACTTACAGGCTGTGTTCCAACTATTCCAACAATGGCTGGCTATGAACGGTAAGAGCAAGAATTCAGAAGATGCTCAGTTCCCAAGGCTGGATGTCTCAGCTGATCTTCAGTATATGCTGGAATCCTGAAGAGGTAGGCTCTAATGCCAGTGAAGGAATGGACTTGCTAGTGAGGCCAGAGCAAGCAGGGAAAGAACTAAAGCTTCCTTCTCACATGTCATTATATAGGCTTCCAGGGGAAGGTGTGGCCCAGAATAGCAGTGGGTCTTCCCACTTTAAAAGATCTGGATTAAAGATGTGGCTTCCCACCTCAAAGAACAAGATTAGAAGTGGATCTTACAACTTCAAAGGATCCAATTAATCAAAGAATCCATCACAGATATGCCCAGCCATTTTTTGGTTTTAGTTAATTCCAGATGTAGTGAAGTTGACAACCAAGAACAGCCATCACAACAGGGAAAGTGTAACCACATTTTCATACACTACTATGAATAAAATTACAAAAAATTCTGCCAGCCACCAACTGGGATGCTCACCTGACCTGGGTGACTTGGGGACATAATGCTTTATGTCATTACAAAGTCAGTTTTTTCAAGTAACCAGCTTTAGTTAATGTTAAAATGCTCCAGGTCCTTAAAGCTCTCATCAAGGGCCTTCCAGTGGCTCTCAGAAGACAAAATCAGCAAGTACCAGACTCTTCTCTTCCACACTACAGAGATTACTATAGACCTTGTCAGATGTTATATCGGGTGCCTTACTGCCAGATCTCAACCCATGAGTCATCTTATGGTGTCAGGACACAGGACATTGTGGTATATGTCTGAGCCTCACAGAGGTTATAGAATTGGGCTCCTTCTGGGTAATTTCATGTTAGACAATATGCTTAACAAGATGTCTGCATAAGGATTCTCCAGCAAGAACAAGGATGAGCATCAATATTTATACAGATTTGGCTCATGCTTTCTATGTGTATGTGACCTTTGTCATCCAGCTGTCTGAAGAGAAAGGTAACAAAATAATTGGTTTCATCATGAGATCTTCATACAAGTAAAAAATCTATTTCAGCCATATTAACCCTTGTATTTCCCTCTTATTTTCACCCCCAAAAGACTCCTTCTCTTTAAGGTACTATTGCTTCTACTTCACCCTTGTGTGTGTGTGTGTGTGTGTGTGTGTGTGTGTGTGTGTGTGTGTGTGTGTGCTTATGTGTGTCTCAATTAATTTAATTAGGATTATAGAAGTGTGGGTGAGGGGTTAAGTACAGGAACATGGTATCTTAAAAGTGACTAAATCATTGTTAAAAAACATCTCTCCCCTTACAGGACCATTAATTGTATTTATATCCCCGGGGAGCTCTGAAGTCTCATGAGCCCCTCTCCCTCCATGAAGGGAAGGATGACAGGCCTGCCCTTGTGCAGGGATCGTGCAAGTACTCAGAGCTGCTGAGTTAAACAGTTCAACAGCTCCATCACAGCTGGAAAATAGCATTTCACAACATTCTACCCCTTCTTGTTCTCACATCCTTTCTTCCTCCTCCTGTGCGGTGGTTCCTTGCTCTTGGATGCTGTAATATACATGTTTGGTCTAGTAAATGCTTTTGCCTCATGCTTTGGGGGGAACTCTTTGCTCTTTCCTCTGTTGATTGTGGTGGTTGTTGGAATAGTCTGATTTCTGTCTGGGGAGAATTTGCAGGGAGATCCAAAGGCCAACAGGTTGGAATCTGGACCACCTCCATTTATCAGGGGTCAGGGCAAATCAGGATATAAGCTAAGGAGACTCTCAGACTTCTCTGCAAGGGTTAAGTCCTAATTTCTCTTTAATATGTGCCCTCTTATGGAGAAAGGAGAGTGACAGCTCATTTCAGGAGGCTTGAACATACTGTGAGAATCTCCCCATCCTCTCTCCCTTTTCCCTATTTACAGTCGTTGCTGTTCTTCAGCATGGGATCGAGAGAATGCCTGGCTGACAGCATTTGTGTCTGCCATTTTCATTTCTGGAAAGACATCCTGATATATGGGCCTGTGGGTAATCAGGTTTTTGCTCTCTGCAGGATGATGAGTCCCCTTTCCCTCTAGTTAGGGTTATTATTGCTATGAAGAAAGCAAATTAGGGATGAAACTCTAGCTTTGTCAAGTTGAAATAAAACTAGCCAGCACAACTGAACTGTACTGGTACAGAGGAAAGAAGCATTGCCTCCTTTAGGCCCTATAGCCCAAGGTCATGGATGGAGCAAAGAGCACTACATTGAACCCTTGTCAACTTGACACACAAACACAACACTTTCTCTTCCTTCCTTCCTTCCTTCCTTTCTTCCTTCCTTTCTCTTTTATCTTTCTTTCTTTCTTTCTTTTTTGATGAAATTTTTTTGTTTGTTTTTCAAGACAGGGTTTCTCTGCATAGTTTTGATGCCTGTCCTGGATCTCACTCTGTAGACCAGGATGGCCTCCAACTCACAGAGATCCACCTGGCTCTGCCTCCCAAGTGCTGGGATTAAAGACGTGCATCACCACTGCCCGACAATGAAACACTTCTCAATCAGAACCTTACCTTTCCCATATCCCCAAGATGGCATGTTAATATTAATATCACTATATAAAAAATGACTTAAAACACCCCACAGTCTATATCAATTCAAACACTTTAAAAGTTCTGTCTCTGCAAAAATCTAAAATCTTTTTAAAAGTTGAAATTGCCTTTGATTCCATCTGAGAAAATTCTTAGCTTTTGGGTTTGGGGAATCTAGAGGGTCTATTCATACATTCTAAGGACTTATCTAATAGTCATAGGGATGTTAGGTCACATGCAAAGATAGGCAATAAATTGTTCCTAACAGGGCTGAAGATGGCCCAAGACAATGTATCTCTGGAATTGTGGCATTCCAGCATCTCACATCACTGAAGATGTACTCAGTCAATTAGCTTTTGTGGGTGAATGTCTTTCTGGGCACTTCTGTCCACACATGCCATGGTTTCTGTGTTGTTTTGTTGCCTGGCCCAGCTGTTTGCCTGTGTCTTTGATTTGATGAATCTGTTCTCCACATTCAGGTAGATGCTATGTGGTATGTTTACATGAAAAAGCCCAGTCCTCAAAGGATATAACTTAAATTGGCAGATAAGTAAGCAAGAGAACATTCAAGCTGAGTTCAAATTTCTTTTAATTCATAAGATACAAACAAATATAACACATTGGATTATTTTAAATTTATCAAGAAAAAAGGAAGTATCAGCATTATACAAACTGTCACCAGGTTATTGAAGCTGTGTGTGAAAAAGCACATTTGCCATTGACAATGTTGGCAAGACTTGATACTATTGTGCATCTGAACCTATTTTGTAAAAGAGAAAACATGACAAAGTTTGCTGTGTTCAGGTTTTTACAGCTTCAAGGAAAAAAAGAATAAATTACAGCAGGAAATTAGCAAAGAACAGAAGCAGCCAAAAAAGAGATGGCAATGGCTATATATAGGTATAGAGACACATTTCTGATGGAGAGCATATGCTTAAGGGTCAGGAGGATTTGTATGGTAAATTAATTTCCACCTAACGGATTGTTACAAGATCTTGCAGAAGTTCCCGTATGTCACGAGGTTTGCAACAGTTCATTCAAAATGGTATGGGTTAATGAAAAGCTTACTTAATTACATTCATGGTTGTCAAAACAACTGCTTATAATTTCTTCTGTGTTTGGCAGGACTGTAACTTTCCAACAATGGGCTCTTATCAGAGTCAAGATTGATTTAATATTTGTCTTTCTCAATATTTATTCATCAGAAGTGTCTAATCTTTGATAGTATGACACAAAGTAATGTGCATAATTCATGCCTGAAAATCTATATAATTCCACATACAATCCAGTAACCTAAAAATCTTTGCAAAACTATCACATAATGTTTTAATGAAGTCCCTGAATTTGATTTGACCACAGTCATGGGTATCCTGGGCTGTGAGTTGGTCATCCCTGAAAGTTACATAACAGATTAAAACCACTATCTGTTCCTCAAGTCTGGTGTAACTGACTTTCTGAGTTTTCAGTAACCACCACTAGAAGCCTAAAGCAATGAGGATCAGGGGCTAGATTGACAGTGAATATGTTCATCTTCACCTCCAGGTTGGCCATGTCCCAAGGTGGAGGACAATGGGACAGCTCTAAAAGGGTCTCATAGTTTCATGGAGGCTATGGAGACCCCGGAGTTTGAGCTTTGGGTCATTTCACAGAAAAATAACCTTTGTTCGGTAGATTATAATGAGTGGAGACAAGGGGCTCCTAAAACTCTCCAACACCCCTAAAAGTATCCCTAAAGAGATACGACTGCCAACAACAAAGAGAAGCTATTGGCCATCTTCATGTTTTTAAACACTTGACAAAAAACTACAACTAAGAATACTAAAAAATTAAAAATCTACCAGCTGCAACCAGGTTTCTCATTATGACTTGGGTCAACTGGGAGAACTGAAGTTCCTAACACCCTCTAAATTCTAATTAATCCTCATTTATGATCTGAATTATTCCCAACTCTACATCTGTCAACTTTTGTGATGCCTTCACACTAGGGTTTTCCTTAACACTGCTCTCTCACTATATGCAGAGACCTTTGTGTCTCCGTATATCATTGGGACAGATGATCAAGGCTGTCCCTGAATACTAGGATAAGGACAGTTCCACCTCTGACTCCAAGTTTTCAGGATTAGCTCCAGTTATTAAACAGGTGATTAAGTTTATCTTAAATTTCTTCCACAGGATGCAAGGCCATGGGAGATGTCTGGACCAGCTCCTATAAGGTCTTTCTCATCCCTCCAACTGTAGTTAAGTTATGAGGCCTGTCTCTGTGGGTTGATCTGATGAGAGGCAATAGCGTTCCTCCTGCACAGGCTCAAACAGCTCATTCCTGGGAGCCTCTTGGAGATTTTTGTTAATTCTTTCATGTTTGATGAAGCATACACAATCAAACACATCCAGACTCAAAAAGGTCCTCCCTTGAAAATAAAATCAAAATACGCTATTTTAATTCCCAGACTCTGAGTCTGACTTAGTTTCTCTTGATCGCTCATACAATTAGAGGGTGAATCCTACCCAACCTGGCACCTTAGGCCAGTGGTTGAGCAATGGTGCTATGAAACTTATCTAAGAAGACATGAGCTGTCCCCCTCTCGTCTATTCAAATACGAACATAAAAATGGCCCAGAAGACAAGGCCAGGCACTATCTCGTAACTAATATTAAAACCTCCCATTCTCTCTCAGGAGTATTGCCTCTTTAGAATTCACTAGCTGTGTTTTGGTCAACTGTGTCTATCTTTCTCGTGTGCATATATACACGTGTGTATGCTCATTCATATACTTGTACCTATGGAGACTAAGCTTTCACTTTGGGTGTCATTCCTCAGGAAGCCATAAACACTGTGTTTTGAGCCAGTCTGTACTGAAACTCACCAATTCAACTAGTCTGGCTGATGAGGAAGCCCAGGAATGCACTTCTCTCTCTCTGTCCCTTACATTGGGATTATAAGTGTGTGTCACCATAGTGTACATGGATTCTGGAGAGTACACTCAGGTCCTCATGCTTGTGAGGCGCAAGCACTCTATGACTGAGCTATCTCTTTTTTGCTCATTAAACATTTTTGGTCTGCTGAATGTAACATTTCTATGGCTATGCCACGGTCCCCTGTAGTTCCTGGCATGGCAGTGCCCTCCAGGACTGTTACTCTCACGTGTTCCTAACCTTAGTTCTCTGGTACTGTGGATCCCTAGAAGCAGCACTGCCATAGGGTTTATCCCTTCCGTAGTCTGCTACTCACCTTTCTTACCTGAGTTTTCTTTCATACAGTATAAATTCTTTGTATAATATAATTCTATATCCATCTTATATATAAATAACCATAGATGTGTGATTTGAGGTTTGCTCATTTCTTTTTTTCTGCTTTACTGTTTATTTTTGCTAGCCCACTCCTCATGAGAGGCTGGATGGGTACCTTCCCTGTCCCTAACACCTTGCTCTGGTATTATCCTGAATTGTGGAGGATTGCACTATGGTGCTGGACAGGCACTTGGTCAATGGAGCAAGATAAGTCTCTGTTGACCAGTGTTTGGTAGGGATGCTGAATTTTATTTACAGCAATAGAAGTTTCATGATTTTTAAAAAAATATCTATTTCCAATTTTTTTGCCAATGGACTGCTTACTCACTGGATCCCTATATTATGAGTGAAATCCTGAAAGAGTGAGCTATGCCTACAGAAGAGTTGCTCACATGTGTCTTAATTTTCAAGATCCATCAATTTCACTGGCTGTGATTGCCAAGTAGGCCCAATTACCTTTGATAACTGGTCCCTGGACAACATGGGCTCTTTTACTCTTGTCTTAATCACTAACATAAACTCTCAGATCAGACATTATACACCACGCAAAAGCATATCTATCTATATTACAGAATGGCTTCAGAAGAGTGGAAGAGATGCCGCCATAGATTACAGAGACCAGACTGGAGGCAGAGACAGAGCGGTCATAGACACACGGAGAGACTCAATGCAGGGGGTTAGATGGGCTGATAAGGAAGCTGGTAGAGAGCTGCAGGGTTGCAGGGTTGCACTGGGCCACAAGATTCGGTGGCACTGCTGAGGTGAGGTGCAGGACCACAGGATCCAGCAGGTGAGATGCAGGACCACATTAGGATGACCAGCAGCTAAAGTGTCGGAAAGTGATTCAAGTAGAAGGCATTAGCAGTGGGGATGGAGCTGAAGCTTCGAAGATGGCCAGGAGTTCTCTGCCTGCTGGTTCCTTGACACACTAACAACCAGGTGACAGGCTGGGGGGCCCTGACTGTTGCAGTGTTAGGTGTCCTCTTCAGGGGTCCAGGTGAGGGTGTCAGATAAGTTCTCAGGCCTGATCCTCTGATATGGTTGTGATAGGCACATGGAGTGACTGCTTCCAACCTATTTTGATAAGTGTATAGGAGACATATTTTTACTTTAGGATTAAGTTAATTATCAGCCTGTGCCTTGTGGATGGTCCTGGACAGGCGTGTGTCTGTGTACAGAGTGAGGTGTCATCCAACTTCTGCATTGCACTCAGAAGGGAGTCCCAACTGCTGCATGTAAAATGGAGTCACCCAGGGCAAGCCAGTGTTTTGCACAGTGAGGAGTAGTTTAGAGCCCAGCCCAGCTTGATCTCCACAAAGCTATCATCTAAGAATAAGACAGGAAAATGCACCTATCAAGAAGAAGCCCCTGATGGCAACAGCCTGTCACACTTAGATGCCCTGGTGAGTGAGGCCCCAAGGACCATCACTTTCAGTGTTACCAGTTTGGTCAGAAGTCAGTGGCACAGGTTTCCAAGAGATATGTTTGTTTGCTTTGTTGAAGAAGGCACATGAACTGTTCAAGAGTCACTGGACACAGCTGGTGATGAGGGCTGGAGGTCAGACTACAGAGGAAGATGCGGCAGGGAGCACCTATTGACAAACAGGGGTGTGGGTTACAGTGGGCTCCTGTGTACATAGTTACAGCATCCCACACTTCATTTCTCAGACACTCCCCCACCTCACAGACCACAGAACTCAGTCACACAGCCCTTTTCTATTTCATTTGTTCCTTCTAGATCTTTCTGATACTCTAAGTCCTGGTAGGATAAGACTTCAGATGTTTCTGGAGTTGTACATGCATTGAAAAACAGATTGTGAATAAAAAAAAAAAAAGCAGTGAACAACAACAAAAAAAAACCCAGAAAATATGAAAGACCAGCAAAATATACCTGTATTTCTGTCTCTGCTCACCTTTTAACTTTACTTTCATTTTTTGTTTGTTTGTTTTTGTTTGGGGGGACAGGGCTTTGCTTCATAGCCCAAGTTGGCTTTTAACTTACTATATAACCAACGACAGGCTTGAACTTTTGCAGCAATCATCCTGCCTCAGCTCCTCACATACTGGAACTGTAGCTCTGACCAAATATACAGGTGGATTTAAAGTTTTTTATGCAATAAGAGTTATTCCAAAATAATTATACTGACTTAAAAATCTAACATATTAGCTGGGCGGTGGTGGCACACACACCTTTAATCCCAGCACTTGGGAGGCAGAGGCAGGCAGATCTCTGTGAGTTCCAGACCAGCCTGGGCTACAAAGTAAGTTCCAGGAAAGGCGCAAAGCTACACAGAGAACTCTGTCTTGAAAAAAAAAACTAACATGTTAACCAGTATTAGCTATGAATCTTTTTTTTTTTTAACCACTCCATGCTTACAGGGAAATTTGTTAGATCATATTGAAATAGTTAGGACACTGGCAATCTTCATCACAGTCCTGTATTTTTTTTAAAGATTTATTTGTTTATTTACTACATATACAGTATTTTGCCTGCATATATAACTGAATGGCAGAAATAGGTACCAGATCTCATTATAGATGGTTGTGAGCTACCATGTGGGCGCTGGAAATTGAACTCAGGACCTCTGGAAGAGCAGCCAGGGCTCTTAAATTCTGACCCATCTTTCCAACCCCAAGGAAAAAGAATGGAAGATATCTTCTTTGTGTTTATATTGATTCCATGTTAAGGTCGCATTTAAGAGATAGTTGTTTAAATAAAACATATTGCTAATTTTAAAAAAAAGCAAGAAATATACGTTGCTGTAAGTCTTAAAATGGTCACTGTCAGACATGAATCCCAGTGTTCAAAAGACTAAATGCTTTTTAAAAATTACTTATGTTTTTATTTTATGTGAATGTGTGTGCTCTCAAGTGTATATCCATGCACACATGTGTACAGGAACACATAGATGCCATAAGATGGCATCAGATCCCCTGGAACTGGAGTTACATGTGGTTGTGAGCTGCCATGTAGGTGCTGGGAATTGAACCTGGCTCCTCTGCAAGAGCAGTAAGTGTTCCTAACAGATGATCTATTACTCCAGCCCCCCAAAACAAAATTCTGAAGAGCCTTTTATGTGCATTCTCCCCTATGTACTCATTCACCTTACTCAGATGTCCACGTCTTTAGGTAAAGAAAACTGAATGTTAAACACCCGTGGACAAAATTGATAAACTGCTTTGAGAAATGACTTTATTAAGCACCCTGCTGTGCCATACACACCACAACTTGTGTCCACTCCTTGTCCTGGGGTCAGGGAGATGGCTCTGGGCCTAAAGAGCTTATGGTACAAACAAGATGACCTGAGCTGAATCTCTGGAAGGACTGACTCCACAAATCCTTGTTCTTCTGCTGTGACACAAATAGGTTCAAAACACGAGAACTTTACTAGAGCAATTGCAATGCCCAGGACACATACTGGGAAAAGATTTCATACATCTATGTGGGCCACTTCCTGAGCCTAAGATGTGACGGGCCTCATCAGGTGCCTGCCTGTTCCTCACCTCCTGTTGTGTTTAACTTTTTCACAGTGATAGGGACACCAATAATGACTTGGTTAATGACTCTTCAGATGATAAATCTTTCCTCATATGGTATCTGAGTGTTTGCTAGAAAGTGTGTAGCCTCCTGAGGTTGTGGTTCTGATTTTGGGGGCAATACTTTTCTATTTCGGTCTATAGTTATATCTCATTGCATCCTTTCTGCTGGGCATGTGCCTGGCATACACTACTCTCCATGCTAATCCACATGTCCCTTCAAGATGTTGCTTGTGTCTTGGTATTCAGTGAGTCAGCACCATCAGCTTGTGGTTCCTGCACCTCAGTATCAACTGTATACGAAAGAGTTTGACCACGGAGACTAATTCACTAAACCACCATGAATACATTTCTAGCTCACTTTCCCTTTAAATAAAAATCTCAGCACCCACTCAACTGAATATTGTAGGGAGGGAAGTGAGACA